CACGTCGGCTGCGGCTCCCCTCCAGGCCTCCACGTCGGCTGCGGCTCTCCTCCAGGCCTCCACGTCTCCAGAGGGGCCGGCGCTCTCCCCTACCGCAAAGGCTCCGCCACCTACCACAAAGGCTCCACAACCATCCTTGTCTGCTGCAGCTGACCCACAGCCCTCCATGTCGGCCGAAGCGGCCTCCAGGACCCCCATGTCGGCCGAAGCAGCCTCCAGGACCCCCTTGTCGGCCGAAGCGGCCTCCAGGACCCCCATGTCGGCCGAAACGGCCTCCAGGACCCCCATGTCGGCCGAAGCGGCCTCCAGGACCCCCATGTCGGATGATGCTGTATCCAAGACCCCCATGTAGGCTGCAACGCCCTCCAGGACCCCCATGTCGGCTGCAACGGTTCCCAGGACATCCATGTGGGCTGCAGCTCTGATCCTCCTGCCTGGTGCAGCACTGGTCCTGGTCTTACCTTTGATCTGGCCCCAGCAAGGCTTACACGGCCATCTGACCTGGACTTTGCCACTTTTTGGACAGTGGCCAGGTCGTCCACCAGAGTTTTAGGGCTTCTCTGGAGGTCCCTTCAGACCTCCAACCTGCCTTTTTGCCCACCTCCAGTGCCCCCTCCACCCGCCCGGTCCTTGTTAGTTCTTTCTCTTTGGTGGTCCGTCAGGATGCCGGACCTTAAAGGGGGGGCTATGTCACGCTCAGCGGCCCCCGCTGCCCCCCCATCTGCCTAAGCCTCTGCTCCTCATATCACAGCCCCTGTTTTAAGATCATTCACGTTTTTTCCTGCCTCAGTTTCTGTTTATTTCATCCTGTTTGGTCCTGCACTGCCTATCACCCATTTTCTGCTCCTGTCACTCTCTCTCAGCAATCTGCACTCATCTGCTGCACCCTGTCTCTGCAATCACCACTCACCTGTCACACCTGTTCAGCTCACTACTTAAGCTCCACTCTCACTCTCCTCAGTGCCAGATTACTGAAAGCCTCACAGCCAGTAAATTATCCAGCATTCGCTTGTTCCTAGTTTCTTTGTTTTTGACCACAGCTTCCCTCTTGACTCCTCGCTTTGTCTTTGCCCCTGTCTGGATACCACGCTCTCGGCCTACATGGTACAACCTCGCTCTCCTCTTCGACCACGACTACGGATCATC